TATGACCGAAAAAATCAATGTCTGTGGTCGTTAATCTAGTAGGTCATGGAATAAAAATGGTCAACATTGAGTATCTGCAATCATTGTGTATGTTCCTTTTTATCTAATACTTTTTATTCTCCAATTCCATTCATTATAAATTATTATGGTCCGTTTCATCTTGTGAATTTCGTTTTGCTCTAGTAACGTGATTTCCTGAAACTTGAAATGACTGACATTTGTGCTAGCTCATACGCTAACTATAAACAACAAATCAAATGGACATATTCTAGCAGATTTTAAATTGTCTAAAATTGAGTACTTAAGTAATAAATTATTTAAAGTAAATTTAGCGTGAAATAATGGATACAATGTGATGGAGCTTGATTATTTTGTGAGTAATAAAACAAATACTTCGATATGGTATAAAGCTATTATATGTTTAGTATTATATGTAGGACTACAGAAATATGATAAGTGTTTGTATGAACCTTTTTTTGATCTGATAAAAAGAAAATATTATCAGAATGGGGATGTGTGGAGATTGTAGTGATTTCAATGATTGAATTCATGAGTTTATGTAAGCTAGACCACCTCTGAAAACTTGAAAGCACTAAACAACCATTTTATTCTAGTATGGGACTCCTCAACAGTGCGCATTCACGATTCTGAATGCGGACACAAACCGCTGAATACCGGCTCAGTGGTCGAAAGGTTGGGCGTTCGCGCGTGGGACCGAACGTCCTGGTTTCGAGTCCTGCTTGCAGGATCGTGGATACACACTGTTGAGGAGTCCCATACTAAAACGAAATAGCCGTCCAGTGCTTTATAAACAAAGATGAATAATAGCTGGTGTTTTCTCCCTATTTAAGACTTGTCAGCTAGATGTACCTACATCTAAGGGTTGATGTTCACTCTGGGACATTACTGAGTTCTAGTCCAAAAGTGAACATCAACACTAGGATACAGGTATATCCAACTGATGAGTCCCAAATAGGATGAAACTTGCGTCCTAGATTCCACTGCTAGTCACTATCCATCTTCGCACTAAATATTATTTCAAAAAATCGATAAAGAAGAATTATTCAACATCTCATTTATTTTAAATTATGATTTATATATTTTATGAATAATGTAGATGTCTACTTTTTACTTTACTACTGAAAATGTCTCTTTCAAAACAATCTTTAAAATATCTACATTTAAATAGAAACAAACTTTTCAGTTATTAACAAATGCTTATTAAGGGATTGTATAATAAGAAATTCTGTTAATAATCCATATCCATTCGAGTTTGTTTTTGCCTTGGATACTCATCTTTCATTAATTTTCTTTACATATATCTACAAATACTTAATTTATCCCGGATTACTTGACAATTCAATTTAGTTCGTTGGTTAAAATAAAACTGACTAGTATTTCTTGTGTCTTTTTCCGTAGACTTAGTTCAGCTTACTTATCTATATCAGATAATCCTTCGATTATTGGGTAAATATATAGTTTTAGTCAACTAATTTTTACTTTATTAAAGCATACTGTTTATTCTTAGAAAATATTTGGACTGATTTAATCCGTTTAAAGAAATACATATTCAGTTAATTCATTCTAATATATATAAATTATAAAGTTTATTTTCTATGATAATCAAAGTACTTTTATGATCAGAAAACAAAATTGAGCCGATTAAATTATAAGAATCACCCCCCCCACACACACACACACCTTCCCCGTTGTACAGATTGCCTAGTGATATGATGAACTGTTTCAGTAATAAAAGAACAAAATCTTTTTTTTTAAAAAACACAATGATTTTTACTATCATTTGTTAATATTTCTAACAAAGTGAAATTGTAATATTTATCATTTATTTTTATATACTATTTTTATCATCATCTCCGGAAGATACACTTTCACATTGTTGTATTTTGTGTACTTTCTCAAAATTGTATTTAATGTTATAATCTATTACATTGAATGAACAACTGAATTTATTGTTCAATTCTGTTAATAATACTAACGAATTGTTCAAAGTATCATGGATTACTTATGAATGAAATGTATGATTTATTGTAAGCAAAGATGGATAGTAGCTAGCAACGGAATCCAGGACATACGTTTCGTCCTATTTGAGACACTTCAACTAGATGTACCTGCATCTCAGAGTTGATGTTCACTCTGACATTCGAACAGACTGATCAATTGCAGTGCTGAATATCAGTGAGAAGATTCAAGTGAACAATACCATAATTTAATGGTTGATAAAAAGTTCACTTTCAAAAGAATAATAAGATAATGGAGTTGACCTGAAAAAATCTGATCTATTCCTACTAATAAATTTCAAAGAATCTAGTTATGTATATATACCTGTCAAAGTATTTACATATGAAAAACAGTAAAAGTCATTTAAACAAAAGGGCAAATGTATATCAGTAACAGTCAGTCCTCTTTATGGATTTAAACAAAGCTGGAATAATATCATTTGTAGTAATATAATTAGTTGATTGTATATCGTAAATTTCTCTTCAATTACATATAAGCCAATCTATTTGACTATTGTAAATCATTAACATAATTTAGAATTCAGAAAAATGAATTGTTCATCAATAACAAATAAGTTGTCTGAAATCTAAGTAAAGATAAGAACTAAACCTTTAATAAAGTTTTTTATAAACCCTTGAAGAGGTAGTTATTGATGGAAACTTCCTTTCCTTTTTCTTCGAATTCCAATTTATGTTAATGATTCTTAATAAGTAAATTTATTAGCTTGTATGTAGGTGGAGAGAAAGTTATGAATAACAATAAACTCATTGTATCCTGTCAATTTTATTGCTCTCACAGTATTTAAATACTAAATGATAATTGAAAATATAAGAGTCGGATAGATTTATGCTTACTAATAACGATTTAAGCAGGATGCCCGTTGAACAAGTTAATTGATATATGGACTCAATAGATCAGTGAATATCATGTTGATGTTTGAAGCGAAAGATTTTGAGTTCAAGTCTCAACATCAGCACTAGGATATAGATGAACTGAGCCGACTAGTTTGAATAGGACTAAAGGCGCATTCCACTGCTAGCCACAATGCATCTATTCTAAGTCAAGCTAATCCCTTAAGGACGCATATATATATATATATATATATATATATATATATATCAAAGTAGTTTGTTCAAAATCCAGTTCTGATTATCAACAAAGGAATCATACAAATCCTTGGTTGTAATATGTTGTTATCGTTTTAACTAGTCGATAAACCAATATCATAGTATTGTTGGTTACTAAGCTTTATTCTTGTTGAAACTCTTATAGATTGTATAAAACGATATAGTTTGTGCACGAAAATCATAGGACGGTTGAACTTATAACACACTAATTCATATTTGTATAAATTTATTCCCAATTGATTGATCACTGGGTGGTGATCAATATCATGTGTGTCAAGTGCTTCTTAGTACAGATCGAATGCTATCGATCAAGTTGCAATGTGGTCACTAGTTTAGGTGACTCGACATTGCGTGTACTATGTTGAAATATGATGGTGGTTGGAGGTAGTCAACAGGAAATCCTGGACCCGGGTTTCCTGTTGACTACCTCCATCTTATAAATTTATTGCTATTATATTTTTTAAATAAAATTTTTATCTTACCATTTGTTTCATATGTGTTCAAGCCTACCGTTAAATGTTGAATAGAAACATTTGTGATAAACAAGTCTAGTTTATACTGGTTTATTTGATGTGTTTTGTTTACTATATAATACAAAAGAAAGACCTACATCCTTAAACTGATCAGGGACTATTTAGGTGAATAAAAATTTATTTTTAAGTAAAATTTGATGAATCAGTTTTAACATGAATTAGCATAATTGACAAGTTATTCATTTAAGAAAACACAGATACACTTGAATTGTGAACTCCCACCTCGTTATATGCAAATAGCTTTTATCACAAAAGAGAATCTACTAGGGAACCGGTGAAGATTACTAGAGAACTGGTTTGTCTTCAGTTGGAACTTTTGATCACTGTGTACTCATAAGTCTAGATAGAACTGGACCCAGATAAACTGAAGTTTCTCTGTGAACAGGGTATATGTTGATCATCGAATCTGGATTTATTATTTCGTATTTCAAAATTCAGTTCACGATGAAGATTGAAATTGAAATTAAGATATACGTATGGTGTTTTAGGAACGAAATACATATTGAATGACCAGACAATTGATATTTCTATCATAGTGTGTCATTAAAGTTTGATAAATGGTATGTAATCAATTGAAATTAGTCTAATTACTCAAAAGAATTATCACATTTTGAATGTAAGAATCTAGAAAAAATGACTTTCTAGATGAATTCTCTGAAATTCCAGTAAGAAACATTCACCAACAAAGTCAATTACTTTAGGAGTAAGATAGTTATCCATACATGATTTTCGACTAACCATCCGTTGTTTTGTGAACTGATCAAGGTTAAATATGTGAAATATTGGATCTCGAATAGGTCTAACAAAATCTTATTGTTTTTTTTAAAAATCAAAGATATCATCGGTTCGATCTCGTGTGAGGTCATAAATGTTCAATCCTTAGATGTCTAAAATTGGTACACGACATCCGTCTAATACTCTAAGGTTGTCAAAGGCTATTTTACTGTTTTATTGACAAACAAGTCTTTGCAAACTACCTAATCTTTGAGATTTATCTCATCTCAAAATATTATCATGATTATGTATAGTACATCAATGAATATAGTAGACAGTTGGAATGTACTTTGGTTATCCTAAACTGTCACATAATTCATCCTCTTTCCTTTCTTTCTATTTCTAATTCACATATACACACATCCGTTATCCAGAAACGTTTACACATTTAGATAAAAATTGTAATATCATAGTGTTTACAAGATAAGAATTTGAAAATATTTTGTGAATAAGCAAATAAATTCTCTCCTAATCTAAACTACTGAAAACAAAAAACAAAAAATTACACATACATATGTACAAAAATACTAAAGTCAGAATAACTTACCGAAATTAGCTACATTGTACTCTATAGTTAGTGTTAAGCAATTTCTAATAGACTGTATTAATTTCATTGCTTCTTCACAAGTTAATTGTCCTGTGTGTATACTATTAATTGTGAGTATACGATCCCCAGGTTTTATTCGTCCGTCACTGAATTGTAAGTACAAAAAAAATGAAAATAAGTCCATTAGAAAGTGTAAATAATTAGATGAACAATAATTCCAGTTCCTAATTATTACACACACATACAACGTGGAATTTGCGTCATAGAGAATAATAAAAGACTTATAAATGTCATTGGATTGACTTGGCTGAGTTGAGAATTCTATGATTGTTATTCTAAACAACACCAGGAATAGCACCGATGTCAAATTAATGTGAGCACTTTTAATTCTGTTTCATCTTTTTTTTATAAAATTAGTTTTTATTCTGATGGTCTTTATAATATCATTCAGTTTAGGAATGACACCTTCCCCAACAAAACAATCTAGGTCAGAGAACGTAATATCATCCATAATAGCTATAAATCTTTCTTGTTTTTTTAAAATTCATAAGAGAACGTTTAACTCCAACAGTCATTAACCTACTAGCCCTAGTGAGCCTTTAAATAAAATGAAATGACTAACTGGTTTAACTTTTTGACTGACTACAATAAAAATGAGCATTGAATCAAAATATTCTTATTGGTTTGGAGAAAGTCGGAATACTCATCCCGAATAAGCTTGCTCGAAAAGTTACATGTTAGAAATAATTCATGATATTTTGTTAGAAGGCTAATATGGTTCAACCATTTTGAGAGTGAGATAGTGGCTTACTGATAAAACAACTTAACAATCGCTAGATTTGGCAAATTGACTTAGGTTGAACATGTGATCCATTATATTCTGAATCAGTGACTTGATGGAATTCTCCTTGTCACGGAAACTGAAGATTCCATGTCTTACCTATAGTAAACACTTCTGAGTACTTAGGCAAAATAGCTTTCTAGCATTCCTGCATCTTAATGGTTCTACAGTTTATTTCAGTCACTAATTTAATCTGACTTCTAATTGATCAACAATCGTAAAGTTTAGAAAGCTTTCAAATATGTTAGGCTTTTAGGTATAAGAGTATTTTCATTTAATATAAAACTGATGATTAAAAGTTCACGATATACTCATGGAACAGATTACACTATTAATTTATTCCATGGCAAATTATACTAATGGGTATAAATTTTGCCACTTCTATATTTTAAATCATTCAAGAGTTTTTTTTCAATGTTCGATAATTTTATGACATCATCCACCAAACGGAAGTTTTTTGCCAGATAAGCTTTTATCTATAATATCGAACTTTTTAAATAGTATTCTCTTTGAATAATGTTATTTATATATCATCTGGTTTAGTGGATTGACCAATAAACCTTACAAATAATTGACAGTGCTTAACTTTAGTCTCTAGGGAATAGAATTTGGATTCGAACCCACTTTCCGTAATTTCACAGCCAGAGAATTTATCATTGAAATATTCAAACCGTTATTATTTTCCTATAGGACAATACCGACTTGTAAATATAATACTCAGAATTAAACAATAATATGTCTGATCCTTGGTTCAGTCTAAAGAATGTAATCAGAATGAAGACTTTGATCATTCAATAGTTTGTTGAACTGGTCAGCTTTGAAATTATAATTCATGAATTTATTACAATCAGCAATGTGTTTATATGATGTAGTCAAAAATGCCATGTAAACTTCATCATAACATTATTCTATCCTTTGATACTGTTTTGAATACGTTGCTTCATAAAGAGCCTTAAACAAGAATGTCATCATTACGTATGACCGAGTATTTAACATGAAACAGTTACACATTTTCTCCTAACATAACTCTTAGGCATAATGAAACGTGATCTTACGTAATAATGCATATAAATCTGGACAGTATGTTCTTTATCTTACACTATTCAATTTCCAATTTCTTATTTAGAACAGGTTATATAAAAGAAAAAACAGTGTAATATAGCTGATAAGGACCACTGTTTTTGATATATTTTCAGCTTTAGAGTTGATTTAGTTTGAATGATGACATATTTCTTATTCTGTCATGCTGTTTTTTTCCACTTAAAACACTACTACTACTACTACCATTAAACTTGTCATTTTAGTTTCTATCACTATTATCAATTGCGTAATTAACTGACTGGCGGATTTGCGTCTTTATTTCAATGATCCAACCAAATATCTATAAGTTTAATTACAATTGAGAGTAAAACTTAGAATTTCATTGGAAATAATATTGTTTATTGATATCTCTTGTCTTAATTTTCTCAATATACATCTTGAATATTGTTGTTATTTGTTCAACTGAAATTATATGTCAAGTCCTATCAAAGGAAGCTAATAAATTTTTGTATTTTAATAGTATTTTATGGGAAAAGGTATATAATTTAGTTCATTTATCTGTAGGTTCATTAACATATACTATTTATGGTCTATGAATCCTTGAAATCATTCCAAAATGTAGACTTTTGATATGGTCACCTAAAATGTCATGAATTCTACCATCTTTTACATTCTATAGTCATTTTGTTTTCTTGTTCCCCGACTAAGTAATCATCGAGTGTGGGTATTTTATCAACATTACAATCAAGATATAATGGTTTTAGAATTTTCGAAAGATCACTTTGTCCTATCTATCTATCTATCTATATATATATATATATATAATTAAGAACCGATCAACCACCTTCAGTACTAAATATCTGCTTTCAGCTAAACGCTAAGTATAAAATTAAATGTAGGTTGATCAATGACTTACTGGTTAACTTGAACTACAATACAACTAGAATGCTTAACGTACGATTTTCCAGTCTTTTCTCTTATCCGACTGATCCTCTGAAAACGATACATGATGATTAGTGGTTATTCTAATATAACTATATAACCTAGCTCGTAATTTCAGTCATTTATAAACAGTTATGTTACGTGCGTACAGAAATAATGATTAACAACATTCTATTTCCTAAATTGATATACAACTGATACAGCATATTCTTCAACTACTTTTTTTCCATCAAAAAAAGATATTTTCACATAGTTTCTATTTGTACTCCATCTATGATCACTGATCATCAGGAATAGAAACAAATCCAATTAAATCATAAGAGCAAAAAGTAATTTGGATTCGAAAAAATCAATGATTAATTTCATAAGATCGATTAAACACTTAACAACCAATAACTAAATGAGAAAGAGAAATATTTTAATTCAAATAACCTTACCGAAAATTATCGATTAAATATTTTACTTGTCAAGAATAAAATTTTCTAACAAAATACTTTAATACTTTTACCGATGAGTTCAATTGAACATTGAATGTAAACATTAACATTGAGATGAATGTATGTTCACAGTTGACGAGTAACATACAGAATGAAATATGCTTCTTGAGTTTTACGCTTGAACTCTATCACACTCTAATAAAATATTGTAAGTAAATGATCATATCAAAAGAATTCTATTGGAAGACACGTATACAAATAAAGATTGATCAACTGTAAACCTCAACACTAATGAGAAAGTGTAAACCATTTTAAGTTAAATGTAAACCCATTGTATAATCTAGTAGTTATCTAGTCTCAATGGATAATATAATGATGTTTGAGACAAAATATATCAGGTTTGATTCTCAAGGTGACAATTTAATACTTCGATGCAGGTTAACCAAATTGACGAGTTCTTAATAAGAAGAAACACACTTTCTAGATTCTACTCCTAACTACAATCTAACTTTCATAGTATATTCCGTGTCATAGCACTTAATCGTTTATTATTTAAGATAGTTTATAGATCATGTCATTTTTATACCATCTTGTTAATTCTTAGTTGATAGATAATAATAATTCAAACAACTTCTTTGTTATTATTGTTTTTGCTGCTGTTATGCTATTTCAACTGTTAATTAGTTTCATAATGTAATCCTTGTCGGGTAGAGACAGGTATCTACCTCAGTACAATGGAAGTTGGTCGCGCAATTTCGTGGATTGGTTGATGTTAGAAACTATCACCATTGGATGCCGGCTCAGTGGTCCAGTAGGTTAAGCGTTCGCGCGCGAGACCGAAGGCCCTAGGTCCGAACCCCGCTCGCGGGATCGTGGATGCGCACTGCTGAGGAGTCCCACAATAGGACGAAACGGCCGTCCAGTGCTTCCAGGTTTTCAACTGTGATGGTCTAACATTAATCGGTTCATGATCTCAATCAAAAACTTAATAATCTCCACAACCCCTATACTAGTTTCATAATAGACATAGTTAAAAGAAAGTTTTGCTATTAGAATTAATAATTTGAAAAATCTTATCGAATATTACAAAGAAAAGAACATTTAATTGAACAGAAGTTTTTTAGTAGTTTGTTCTTCAGACCATACAGGTATAGTCAAGATGAATATAAAAGACGAAGAGTTAAAAGTTTATGAAGTTTATTCACAAGGTCAACCGTAAAAAATGAATCGACCTTATTATGAGCAAACAGAAAGGATGAATGAACCTTTATTTTCACATATAAATCTTGTTTCTTAAATTTGGTGCTGATTTCTCCAATCAACTTGACAAGTCACAATCTCCTAACTTTTGGAAAATCACGTATGACTTGAAAAGTAAGTGAATAGACATTATCTATCTTGATAGTAAATTTACCTTATATCAAATGAAAAAGAACGCAAGACTATGTAATTCCGTGATAAGATAACTTGAGAATATTCAGTCGAAACATGATGACCCAGACATCTTTTATCTTAAAATTACTGTAATACCATCAAGAAAACCCTAGATTCCATACATTAAATAGGAACATTTAATCGGTTGCTAAATTTGCGAACTTCTAATTGAAAAAGTAGTACTTGCTATTACATAGTACAAAAAGGGTTATCTCATTCAAGTTACTGTTTAAAAAAGCCTAGTGACAAATTGTTATACAACCATACATTTGCAAACCTTAAATAACTAAGAGTGTATTAATCTAGAAAGTAGAATTGTAATGTTCGACACTTAGAGTATAGATATTGAACTCGAATCTCTTCTTTTTCATAAAGAACATACTTCATTAAGAAAAATATTACTTAACAATCTATTCCATTAAGCTCAAATGAACTACAAACCTTTTAATTCATTTTGCATTGTCTGTTTGAATCTTCCCATTGTTATTTAGAACTGTAATTGATCAGTCTCATGTTGGCATATGTGCATCCTGTGCAGATTGCCTCGATATTGCCTTAAGTCACGAGCTTTATAAACAAAATTGGATGATGGTTAACAATAGAACCCAGAACGCGCGTTTCGTTCTATTTGAGGCTCGTCAGCTGGATGTGCGTTTATTCCGGAGTCGATGTTCACTCCGGGAATCAAAGTGATATCAAAGCAATTCACGAAATATGCACGTATACCGATAAGAAACTGATCAATTACAGTCTAAAACATCGGTGGGGAGATCGCAACAAACAACGCATAATCGATTGACACTTCACCTCATTGCACAAGCTAGTAGCTATTAAGAATCAGTAGCTCAGTGGATAACGTGGTGGTGTTTGAAGCGAACGGTGTCAGGTTGCAAATACATCCAGCTGACGACTCCCAAATAGGAAGAAACGCGCGTCCTGAATTTTACTGCTAGCAACCATCCATATTTGCTTTACAAACCTTTTAATATTTTCTATCTTATTACTTCAAAAACACAAATATAGAAAATAGGAAACAGTTTATGTCAATAAATTTACTGTTATAGCGCATTATAATTAACCATATATCATTACAGTTGAATAGTGAATAATTATTCACCTTTTTCTATTAAATAACAAAGAAATAATCTTTCGTTTTGATAAATTTTTGCTTATAATTCTCTTTATTGCAATAAACAATAAATTAACCATAGATAAACAACTAATTGAATATGATTATCTATGGATTATGATCAATAAGGATAAATCTGTTTCTTATCATTCATAACAAATATACTTCATTCTTGCATGCTATCTTCCATCAATTGATCCATTAGAGAAAAATAAAACATGAAATAGAACTGAATAGTGATTAAAACTGAAATTCAAGGCGTATGTTTCGTCCTATTTAAGATTCATCAACTGGATTTTTTTCACATTTCAGTATCAATCATCATATTGAAATTCGAGCACAATATGAATAGTTTGAAATGTTAATCTGTTATTCAATGAGATATTGGGTTTTTAATATTAATAATGGGAAAACACAAATTTTTAAATACAAAAACAAATGGATAATAATTTTTATCGTGTACAAATGTCATAACTATTAAATGAATTCATACTGTAAACCATCTTTATAACTTTCTAAAACAAAATGCATTAACTTCTATTTAACAAACTTATATCACTCAACAGAACTATTCTCACAGAATGATAATAAAGTTGGAATTGGAATTTGTGGAGTTTTTCTAGTAATTTCTTAACAATTGAGTTGATGAGTTGATTTAAGGTAGACCACCGTTGAAATACTGAAAGCTCTGGATAACCGTTTCGTCCCAGTATAGGACTCCTCAACAGTGCGCGTTCAAGATCTCGCGCGCGAACGCTTAACCTCTAGACCATTGAGTCAGTATCTAGCGATGTTGATGTCTAACTTCAATCGATCTACGATCTTGCGCAACTCTTCATCCATTGGCTTCAGTGGATAACTGACTCACACTCTACACAGATTGGACTCCACTGGTCAAAGCTTCTCACTATGTTTTGTTTCGTAAGAGTTTAATTTTATGTATATATATATATATATATATATATATATATATATTCGATCGAATTTCCGGAAACCTACTTATTTACTCATAACACTATAAATGATTAGTATGTATTGATACTAATATTGCATTGTATAATATGAACTGACTATTCATTAACTTATTTTGTTCATAAATACTTGTTCATCAATAGTTCGAAACCTAGTTATCAAGTAAATAACTAAAGATTTTGATAGTCATTTCAAGTAAGTAAAATATATTACAGCCTACAAATTAAACCGATCGCAACAAGACCTTTTAGAACGAACGGTAATAGTTAGCTCACTACTGAATTGCCTGAAAGTATTCCTGAAGTTCTAGTGAGTAGTCATGACAAAAAGGAGTCGAGACACGTCAAGGATGAAACAATTGTCATCAATTCCATGAAATAATCGTTGCACTATGTTGCAAATTGATTAAAATTCATATTGCATCACTGAACATCAGTTATATAATTTCAATGATTAAACATTTACCAAGGGGCCCATAGGTCATGCGTCACATCACTGGTGGGGTCCTGGATGTGCAACATCAAAGAACCATATTCTAAGATGAAACAACTACCCTGCGCTCCCCGGTTTTCAGTGATACCTTAACTAAAATCGATCCGTGATGAGTACAACTTACGAATTAAACTAATCTCCACAAAACTTTTTTAACTAAACATAAAAATGTGTAAAACTCATAAAATCTACTGATCAAATAAACCTTTCTTAATGGTTAATTACTAATTTTGAAATATCTTTTATTATTTTTGAGCATCAGATAACAGTTTGTAACGTAAATTTATCATCATTCAATGTTGTGCATAAGTTCATGTTTCGCTTTCTAATTGATTAACTCCTTAGCTTTAATCCATCTATTGAATAATAAATTTATCATAAATCTGTAAGATTTGAAATGTAACTTAACTATTGTACATTGATCTTTCATTTCAATCGGTTTATTATAATCTTATTATGATTGAAATACACATGAAATCTATCCTACAATTGATACAAACATTTAGAACTGAACAACTTACTTTCATTTTCTGTTTTAAAAGCTTAACATCTAACCTCCCATACAATTAATGCTAACCCATAAACCGTATTATTAATAAGAGTTCTATGAATCATAATTAACTAAGCTTAACGATACTTTAGGATACATTCAAGAGCACATAATAAACTAGTAAACACTTTTCTCGATATTCAAAGCTATTTCACAGATAAAAATCTATGGTCAATTGGAAAAAAGTTATAAAGATTACTTCATTTCTAAAAAACACTGGAATACCTTACTAAAAGAACAAATTGTGTACTTGCAAAAAAATTGGACTTGACAATAATGCTCAAAATCTTAGTGGAAGTTTATGATTGATGGAGTTCAACGATCTTGAGAATGAGACTCACTGATAGAAATGATCAATCGATATGCTCTATTAAGAACTGAATTAGGTTAGAATTGTGGATTATCATTTAAATGATTAAACATTGACAATTAGATCTAAAGAATCTAATTTTTGTCTGACATAAGATTATGACTGTGTACTTAGGTGTTATACTCTCAATCTAGGATGAAATATCTATTCATGATTCCCATATTCACATTGATTTTACAGTTGAAGTCAGTTTTTTAAACAAAAAATAACTATAAATTCACTTGGTATTGTTTTTCTTATATGTTAGTGAATTTAAATTCACCCCATTGCACAAGCAAGCAGTTATCAGGACTCAGTAGCTAAGTAGATAACGTGATGGTGTTTGAAGTGAACGATATTATGTTCGAGTCCTAGAGTGTATATCAAATCTGAGATTCAGGTACATTCAGCTGACGAGTCCGAACTAGGACGAAACATGCGTCCTGTATTCCATCTTTGCTTAAAAATAACTATTTCTGAAAGTTTACTTTATTGATTTAGATTGTTAATAAAATAGTTTGTTTAACAAATAGATTCTATCAATTGTTATCAGTCGACAAAATGAACTTATGAAACATTGAATTTATTTTATCCAATGCTTTTTATCAGGAAGACCTGTTCATATTTTTGACAAGATTCCTTTATATTATCCAATTAAATAATAATAATAATCTTTTCTTTTACTACATTTTAACCATTTCAATGTTTGTTATTACACTATACTACTCATAGAATATTTCATCAACTTATATCAAATAATTAGATAATTATGATTTTTATTTGTTTATCTGGGTTTTTTTAACAAAAATATAAAAAAAGGTATATTAGAACTTACCAGTCAGCAGCACTATTTTGTCGTATATGCATAACAGTTAATGGTCGAATAAGTAATGGTGATTTATTCCATCCACCACGAACAACTAAACCAACACCATCAGAACTAATTTTCAAATTGACAACCATGTGTTTAACGGTACAACCAACAGGAGCTATCATAAACAATTTACATAGAATATGTTAACTGATTGATATTAAGTAGGATCATATTTAAAGTGAAAATAGAAAAAAAATTACTGAACAATTTAGAAAACTGGCAAGTATTTCTAGAGAGAAAAAAACGACAAACAAACAGATTAATCAAATATTCATTTTGATGGAGTTTTGTTCTCTGACCTGGATGGTTTGATCGTGGAGATTCCATCGTTCTTCTGAATGACATCATCAGCACAAACTTCAGATAGAAGTGAAGTGTTCGAATTTCTTCATATGCGTTTCCCAGCTTCTTCTGTACATCTCGACGATGAAAGCTCCACGACCAAACCATCCAGCTCAGAGAACAAAACTCCATCAAAATCATCCATCTGAGCTACAAATCTTCTCCACCATCTCAAATATTCATTGAAAACTTAACAATATTTTAGGATGGAATCATGCTAATTTGACTACAGTTACGAATACCGTTTTAAAGTTTATGAGAATCAAATCGCAATTCTTTTGTTAATGATGCTGAAATGAGTTTGACGTTTTCTTTTGGATATTACATAATATTCATAATGATATTTGAGACTTGACAATGTGTATGACATTTTTTGTTCATGTCACTTAAAGAAGTTCTGCAATACTGTATGGTTGAAAGCAGGAAGCTTGATACGTAGGTTTAATTCTATTTAACACTCTTAACAAAGTTTATCTTCTATCTTGAAGAAACTGATTCCTTCTCATTGGGTCCAGGATTATGTTAGCCAACGCCACAGACAGAAACGTTACAATTAGTTATTTGGGCCTATCAATCTGGTTGGGTTCCAGATTTCATGTAGAACTTTCTTCTCCCATGGTTATCACTAAGCTTAATTCGTGGGTACCAGTTAATTTTTAAAAAATACGTCAAAGATTCTCTGTTAATTCTCTTAATCTTGTTATCTTTGAACAAGAGTACCCCTATTTCAAGTTAAATATGTTCATACTACTTGATTGACCTCACTGTCTTTATTTTAGCAGACTAACTTCAGTCACAAGTTAAACACTAGGTTAATATAACGTAGGTACCTGATGTACTCTAACATGATTCAGTTACTTTTTCTATTCTTAATTATTTTACTGCTAAATAATTCATATTACACAATAATGCGGTAGGGAGTAAAAGTGTTCACCTAGAGAAAATAAATACGAAATTGGTTGTCTGCTATTACACTAATGCAAAATCCCAATACATTCTATTCTATTTCCGGATAAACTCGAGAGTAATAATGAGCTGAATACCAAGAAAAAAAAACAAAAGTTTATTAAAATGAGAAAAATAATTTAAAACATACGACGATGATGATGATAATGATGATGATGATAATGATATCTTCATCAACACAGCACTCAATAATTACTTACGTAATGCTGGTAATTCATATCCAATTTCCATCTGAATTTTAGATCCCAAATGTTTATTTGAAGTAGAGTTTTCACTTGATATATTCATGAAATTCATTGATAAAATATGATCATATGGTAGGAAACAATCATTTCTATATTGAATTCAATAAAGTTCAACAATCAAATAATACATATTTAGTTGAGTAGTCTTAGTTTTGAAGAAGATAACATACTACATATAATTTCAATAGAGATTTATTTTATGAAAATGTATACAAATCTAAATACCAAAATGAAATCATTTCAACAGAAACTATCGATGTCATACACAATATACGCAACAAATAAATCCCTTACTTAAATAAAACATAATTTTATACAACGTTTTCATTGAATCATCAAGTAGATTCTGTCAATAAACAAATTACTTAGAAATTTATTACTGATAATCATTACAGACAGAAATCAGCACTAGACACTTACATCATTCTAGTGTATGACTTATAATCAATGTACATTCAAGAGTTCATCAGGAATTAAATCTAGGAAATTCAAGTTACATGTCAAGCACTTCATCATTAGAATTATGGAATTTAAAAGGGGGTTTTGTGGAGATTTTAGTGAGTTACTAGTTCAATCCATGAGTCAATTAAAGCTAGACCACCAAAAAAACCTAGAAGCACTGGATGGCCATCTCGTCCTAGTATGAAACACCTCGACAGTGCGAACCCACGATCCCACACAAAGGACTCGAACCTAGGACCTTAATCTCTATAACACTGATCCGGTATTCAACAGTGTTAATGTCTAACTTCAACCAATCCACAATATTGTGCCTTCGTCCACCATTGTCTTCAGTGAGTAATTGCCTTTCATACTAGAACGCAACGGCCATCCGGTGCTTCCATGTTTTCCATGGTCTAGCTTTAATTGACTCATGAATTCAACTAGTAAATTATGGACTTAATAGAACTACTTTTTCATTTGAGTATTTTGTATACATAAATGCGTTGAAGTTTTTTGATGATGTTTAAAGTAATAATCAGTCATAATAAAAGAAATATAAATGAATAGAAGAATGTGCGATTTCGAATATGAAATCATCACCATAGCAATAATGTGTTTAAAAATTAGTGAGTTTTTGCCCTTTGATGAAATCGCCTGATAAAATAGAAGTCAACAACATTTCAATATCATCTAACATTAATTTTTCAAAAAATTACGATTTCGCATCATAAATCGGCCTTGGAGGACCATTGATAACCAGAAAATTTTAAACATCCACTTCATTGTAGTATGCGGATCCTCGATCACGTGCATCCGCGACCCTGCCAAGAAACGAACCAACAACTTTTAGGCCCCTTGTCGAGCGCTTGATCTTCAAACCACTGGACTGTCGTTCAATATTTTACGTTTCCACCTTCAATCAGTTTGTAATACTGCACGACCATTATTGATTACTATCGAGAATATCTGTTTCATACTTGACATAGTTGTAAATTTCCATTACAACTACGAGAATTACCTCTCAAACTTAGAACACAATCGGTTTTTAATACAGAGAATTTTCAGTGGTTATCTAACCAGCTAATCTATGGTGTAAAATTGAAAAACTCAAAGATCCCCCAAATCTTCTACACTGAAAATATAATTCCTTAGTTGAGTGATACATGGAGACTAGTAAAGCTTGGAAACGATTTTTCGCAGTTGTGTAATCACTGAAATCAATGAGTATTAAATCAAGATTTCAACAGCGGTTTCCCCTTAGTGACTTATCACAGGGAAGAATTCCAAAACGTGAAATCTTTTAAAAAAATAAGGCTTTTTTCTTTACTCTCAGACAATACTGTATGATTACGATTACAGCTGAATAACAAATGTGGCTAAGAAAACGCTAACCATTCAAATCTAATTTTTAGGCGCGTATTTAACAGATAATATAAACATCGTTTGCCTTCTCATACGCTAATTGGTGATAGTTTCAACTTAATCAAGAACATATTAAATAAGCATAACCCATATTTTAATTGTTTACATGGGTAATAAACGTGATCAGAAAAAATTCTAAACCCCAAACCTCCAACCTTGCACACGAATGCTTAACCTCTAGACGATTGAACTGGAATCTAATGGCGTTAATGTCTGACTTCAACTAATTCATAATGTCGATTAACTATCTTCCATTGTCTCCAATGATTAACTGTCTCATATTCGTCCAGTGTTACATATTTCGATAAATATCGTTTAGAAAATATTTAAGATAATAAGATGTAAAAAGAAAAAAAGGTTGAGAAATTTCAAAGTTGACAACAAAAATTCATCATTTAAATCATAATTCATCTGTCTGTCATTTTATTGAATATTAAATAATAAAAGAAAATTGTTTAAATCTACATGTTTAGTAGTAATAAGAATGATATTGGTTAGTACATCTTTGTTTTCGTGTATAAGGGGGGAGGATTTCATTCTTGTTGTTATGTTGACAATATTATTTAATTATACATTACTGTTTGTCAACTTGACTGCCTAGTATGGTTTACTTATACATAAGATATTTAAAATAAATTCCAGAGAATTGACTTAATTTACAGAACATGTATATATCCTTGAGTGTCATTACTATTGAAGAAATGATTTACCTCTTGAATGGTTAACTTTATTCTTGTGTTGATAAATAGAAATCTTGAAAAATTAAGTGTGTTTTTTGTCACACCAACCCTTAAACTTAAAAGTACCTATGAGTTATAACCATAATCTTAATTGCCTTAATACTAAATCAACTATGTAACTCATCATTTTCTTTTCTTTTTCTGAAATATGAATATTTTCTTATATAATAATTGATATTACGAGTTTTACTAAGGTTCTTAGAGTTAGTAAATTCAACTCATTCAGATAAATGTGTCCATATAATTACATAATTTAAAATAAGAATAGAATAACCGTTTCCCGTACAATGTGTTATAGTGTTTCTACCTCTTTTTTTATGGAAAATGAATTACAGGATACTTTTTAAAAGTATCAGTTAAGATGGAGTCATCGTATTCATCAGAACTGTCAATTTTTAACAAATTCTAAATCTGTGACTAAAACCTCTGGATAATTATCATTCTTTCAAAGTAATAATAAATTATGTTTCACTCACTCTCTTGGATAACTTACTAAAGTAATGATTCTAAGCACAATACCCAAGACATATTTGATAATAAATATCTTACTATTCATTAAATAATAATCAATATCTGATGGCATATACTGAGTATCATACTCTTGTCAAAACAGTCTGTAAAATATAAATCTATGACTTACAGACTAGTTCATCGAAAAAAATGTTCCATCGTTTAGTCGATGTGATGTGTTAAAATTATACACTAAATATGCTTAAAACACTCACTTGCCTACAAACTTCAAATTTACTTTCACAGTTATCTTTATCAAACGAATTACATAGAACTTATTTTTAGATTAAAACTATTATTAATCTGTTCCTGATAAGACGAAATAAAAAAGCTTACCAAATTCTTCTTTAACAAGATTTCAAACTCACAATTTAAACTTTTCATTACTATACCAGTTGATTTTGACTACTTAAATTGTTAATTTTGCTATCTTTAGATTAATATTATGAATGGATCAGTGTTAGACTATCACTGAAGACCTGGAAGCCAGTTTTGTCCTAGTACTAGACTCCTCAGCAGTATGTATCCACAATCCCGCAAGCTAGATTCGAACTCAGGACCTTTAATTTCACACGCGAACGCTTAACCTCTATACCACTGAGCCAGCATCCAACAGTGTTATTGCCTAACTTTAACCAATCCACGATTTTATTATCCTTGATAGATTTACTAATCATTTCAAGATTATAATGATTATTCAAGTAATTTTATAGTTACCTTAATTTATAGCTGACCTTCTTCAACCTAATAATGATAAACGTTGTTTTATTACTTTGTAGGTAGATAGATAGAGAGATAGATAAATATCGAACTAGTTTAATTGATTTCTATGTTATTAACTTCCTTCACTGTTTCATGTTTCATTGTTTTGTTCTCAACAATAAAAAATGAACTATTTGAAAAGTATGTTTCTATTATTGATTTAATATGATTACTGTTATGTTTTATTCTTTAATTCATATTGTTTGTAGTTAATGAAAAATCAGTGGGATAAAATAAACTTTATAAGTTCTTCAATCTGTTTAACTCAAAATTAATGATTGGAATGAGACATATATATTCTAAACCCAGGCTGTTATAAAACAAAATCGGACGTAGACCCTTGTGATATTATTCATAAAGGCAGTATGACCAGGACAGTTGACTAACCAGGTACTTAACTAAATATTAAAATTTCCTCTCTTATTAAATTGGATATATCGTAGTAGACTAGTTTGATACCATGGATTATGGTATTTTTGTTACAATTTTTGAGAAATACAACCTGATGATAGTCAATATCTTACTCAGAAATCAATGACCTTTAGTTTGTAATAACAATCATTTCTTAAAGTAAGACTTTTCATCATCTTATTCAATAGAACATGTGAATAAATGTATTGAATATTTAGTTATTTACCTGTCTGCAATACTTCCAGGACGAATATTTAAAATAACTGGAGCTTCACCCTGATTAGAACTATCAGAAACAGTTAACCCTAAATTAGACTTTTCTTCTTTGATGATTTCAATAATAACACGTCCAAATGCATTCATATCTGTAAAAGAATGATTCACAAAAAAGAGAGAAATGGCGATGATAATGTAAGAATTAAGATATTATATATTTAAATGAAATTCAATTACAAACTATTTTTTGATAAGACTGTATTGACAAGTGGCTATCAGGACTCAGTAGCTAAGTGGATAATGAGATGGCGTTTGAAGCGAACGATACTGGGTTCGAGTCCTAGAATGAACATCAACTTTCAGATTCAGATACATCCAGCTGATAGGACGAAACTCACTTCCTAAATATCCACTACTAGCTATTATCCATCTTTGCTTATAATGCTTGAGAATTAAGGCAATATGCAAAGTATGCACATATGCCAATTCGCATTTAAACAGAAAACACGTTCTAATTAAATTCTTATTTGAAATTTAGATTTTATAATGTTGAATAGTGTAATGAGTAAAATGATCAACATTTGGAAACATATCTATGTTGTATAGTTTTAGGCTACCGTTCATTGAGATCAGTTTGTACAAAATGAATTTTCCAAGTAATTTTTTTAACCTACACAAACTGACGGTATATAAGCTAGTCATGTATAAGTCAAATGATATTTTAGATCATTTTGGAAGACAGTTTAGCTTAAAACTCCTTAGCCGTATACACTAATAATTCATCTAACACCAAACCTTAGACCAACAATCTTTAGAAAGGGTATAACATATTTAAACTAATATGTTAAAATCAAGGTCAAGAATGTGAAGGTAACTCACAGTTAATATTTCTTGAATATACAGTCATATCACAAATTGAATGACGGTGAAAACTTAACATTTTAGAATAATAACACTGACTGTATAATATCTTGTCCATTTGCAAAAATTAGTAATTCTAGGCTTAATATCGTGTGGGATAAACGCAAATACTAGTGACTAATGAGTCTAAACCGCCCCCTCCCTAATTTTTAATAGCTTTTTAACTGACAACCATTTATCATAAATACCATGTTCAATATGAAGATTTTCATATAGATCTACCTTTCCGGTGAGAATCAAACCCATGATCCTTCAAACATCCAAATGGTATCTTTCAGATTATTGAGTTCTAGTATTCACTAATTTTTCAACAGATAATGATAATATAAATATTCGCTATCATTTAAATGTAGTTTAAATAAAACTTAATATGATGGGTTACAACTGGGCTTAGAATGAAACTACCGAACTACTTTATTATGAAATCACAATATTTGTCTTTAGCAAAAATTAACATTTAGCTAACGTACAAACAGAAATTTCTTTATCTCCTTCGTATGTACTTTTTCTATTTATTTCACATAAACAGGCATTTTTATGTTTTTGATCGATATCATAAACCGCTTGATGTTAGACCACCACTGAAAACCTGGATGCACTGGACGTCCGTTTCGTCCCGTCGCGGTACTCCTAAGCAGTGCACATCCACGGTTCCGCTCTTGGGATTCGAATCCAAGACATTCGGCCCTACGCACGAACGCTTAACCTGTAGACCAGTGAGCCGGTATCCAGCGATATTAATGTCTAACCTCACCAAATCCACGAAATTGAGCGACCATTTTCCATTGTACTGAGATAAATACCTGTTCCTATCTGACATGCATTAACTCCACTGGTCACAACTTCTCACTAGAACTCTGAGAATTCCTTCACGAAGCTAGTCACTAGTGAGCACATGGTAATTATCGGTTCATGATTTCAGTCAAAAGCATAATAATCTCCACAATCCCATATTGCCATTCGTATGGAAGAAAATCGAATGAAAATATTCAGAAATAAAAATTATCATTACACTTATAACTAATAATACATTAATTAAAGGTAATTAAATTATATGAATATATATTTGCCTAATAAATTTTATGTATTTTATATTTCCCTATTTTGAAAGATTTGTTAATAAGTCCATCTGTAGAATGAATACTAAAAATTTGACTGGTAATAAAACAGACATTATATGTAGTTGAAATTGTATGTAACGTCCAATGAACTATTCCAAAAATATATCTAAGTCAATTACTGAAGTATCTACTATACGCTCTGATATGAAATGACATACAACTTATCAACTATTTGTAGATTTACGTACTTATCTATGAGCTGTTTGTATTGCCTACAGATTAACAATGATGTTCACCTAGACAAACTTCTTTACTGAATGATGATTTGAACCTAATGACGTTTGATTAAGATATAAGTTACTGCTACAGTCAGTTAAAGTTTAATTTAAGAAATATTTGTATAGAATGAAGACAATTTAGAAAGGAACTTCTTGGAGCTCCATAATTCTGGTTTGACTCCTCATTTACTTCCAGTTAACTCTTTAAACTATTTTCCAACCATATAAGTTTCTCAACAAAATATCTAAGTAAATAATTATCATATATTCATTAACGACTGACTCCAAATTTTATTTTAAAGAAGTGAATAGTGCTATCATCTAAGCTGAAAATAAGACAGCTGGCAACCAATTACAAAGCTCTATAAAGCAGGTTAACGAATTCAGGAAATGAAACTCATTTAATTCTAGTTTAGAAATTTAAATCGATCACACTTATCATGAGGCTTGAATGTTCTGAACTCGATACTGCATGGAGTCATGTGGCACACACAGGTCACAAATCAGGGAAGAATAACTGCTTATTCCTCTTTTGTTTTGAATAGTTCTCTAGCAAAGATTAGTTGGTTATAAAAGAACTTTCGAAGTTTTATACATAATACTGTAAAATATTAATTGGATAGATAATCATTGCCGAAAAGTATCTGTACTAGAAAAAAGTGTCAGAATTTCAGAATGATCATAGACGGATTTCTTTGACTAACTGGCCTATGATCTAACCAATCAACCTAGATATTTTGAACATTCTCTGTAACAGCAGTCGACCAGCTAATCATGTTTTACGCAAACTCAATTTACTATTATCGAATTATCATAGTCTACAACTAAAGATTCGATAAATCTGAAATAAGAACTTAAAGCAACACACTGAAATTTCGAATCATGTTAACATGCTAGGTAAACTAGTCCTATTTATAATTAAACAACCTGGTAAAAGCTGTAACTCAGAAAACAGGTCTGTGAACATCATAGTCCAACAATGATATTTTAATTATATTACAAAAGATTTTTATTGGAGAAATACAATGTATTCTTATTCATTAGGTTCTAATGTGAACCACAACAAATTCACACTGAATTTTCACTATTTTTGCAGTTAAACTGAATTCATATAACTCCTCATTATTTCTGTTAGTCTCTTAGAAATAATATTCCCTTCCATTATGGGGATTTATGAAGACTTTGGTGTTTTAACAGTTGAATTCACGAGTCGGTCTAATCTATACCACTGTCGAAAACCTGGAAGCATTGTACGGCCGTTTCGTTCTAGTATGAGACGCCTCAGCAGCGTGCATCCACGACCTCGTATGTGGAACTCGAACTCAGGACCTTCGATCTCGCGCACAAACGCTTTACCTCTAGACCGTTGAGCTGATATCCAGTAAACCCAGATTCAAGTCCAGGGTGCGGGATCGCGAATGAACACTACTGAGGCGTCACATAGTAGAACGAGACGGTTGTCTAGTGCTCCCACGTTTTTACTGGTGGTCTAGCTTAGACCGACTCGTGAATTCAGCTGTTAAATTTTCATAAGAGTTCTTAATTAAAGTGTTTCTATTACAACTTTTGTTTTTTAGCAATTTGTTAAATAGTTTCACATTAATATCGATAATGCAACGAAAAGACGAAGGTTATCAGAAATATGCAATATTTATGATATGGTTAGCAATGTAATCTAGGATGTGTTGTGTCCTACTTAAAACCGATCAATTAAATTAACTTGAATCTTACTGCTGATACTTACAATTAGTAATGGACCTAAATAATGCCCATTACATCAATACATAAACCGCAGAAACCTATAACAAAAGGGTAATATTAAAAAAAAACTCGGCGAGACAATAAATTATGGACAAACCAATCACGCATAAGATAATAGGTCTCGGATTTTCGCACGAAATTCATTCATACATTTAGATAAATAGAGTTTTGGCATTATAGCTGATGTCAGTTCATGATGAAAATCCGAAATCGAATTCTTAACCTTAAACATCAATTTCAAATCATAATTCTATTTCCTCACACTACTTTATAACCCTCATTTAGTTCTGGTTATCAAGTGAACACTGTGAAAATCAGTCTAGCGTTGCTCAAATGTCGTCCATAAATTATAGTCTCAGCAAAGTCTCTTAACGTTTTGAGAAATAATTTCTGTCTGTTTTATTATATATTACACTAAATAATATGAAATAGGTCAACAGAAATAAAAGAAATTCATAATATCAAGTATCATTACATGTGCACATATATACCATTGTCTTTTGATAGGTGTTGTTCATGTTGAATCATTTAATTAATAAGTTTCTATGATCACGTCAGACAATATTATCATCACCTATTTCTAACTGAAATAGATACTACTGAGACTTGCACGAAATTGTAATGATTTCTGAGACTAGAGTTTTGAACGAATTGATTAAGAGTAAGCACTGATCGTGTTGACTAGAGTAATAATAAATGCCTTTCAATTAAATCAATCAACCGAGAGAACAACACACTATTAAAAGAACCATAAAGATTTTCCATCATTTACTAAACAGTAGGACTTTAGCATGGACGAAACTAATATGAATTTGTATTCAGTTAAGAGAAAGATCTTATTGTTTCTATAAACGAAGAATGGAAAACTACATCAAAATTACCACTGGCATCTATTCTGAGACATAACGTGGTAACTTCTTAAGTCACTGAGTTCAAGGGTCTATGGAACCAACTCGGAGTCATGATGAAACGGCATAACCATCTTTTATTTTACAGACATTTTGATAGCCTGTTCTCCTAGCATGAATAAGTATATACAGTGATTTCCCTCTCCTTCAGTTCCATAGATAAATAGTGAGAGAAATAAAGTTGATACTTGAATATCAGTAGTGTTTATCAAATATCTAA